GAAGCTCCTGTCGTCACGTCAAATTCCTTGTGTGTGTAAACATACTTGGTAATAAAGATCTTCTGATTCTGATAAAACAAAAAATCAGGTGTTCATCGTAGTATGAGATAATATTCACAGAAAAAAAAAGCACATGACAAGGTTAAATATCTTTGAATAATTCATCATGATGCAATTTTTTTTAGAAGCCTGAGGGATATACTTACAGATAGATGAATTAAACCTGTCACTCATATCTTTTAAGTTGTTGCGCTTGTTATAACGTCGTAGGTCACATGATAACGTCAACATAGCGGATGATATCCGAATCGCATTCATACTTAACGCATTCAGGCTGTACTTCAGGCTGTACACTCTCAATAAGTAGGCTACTTAAAGAAATTAAGTGCTTATAACTTAGATGCGGTTTCGAACGCAGCCTGACAACATCTCGTTTTGACATCTCGCGTGGTTCTGTGTGAGTTGGACAACTTCAAGTTACGCCCCCTTCTAGTTACGCCCCTCTCTTGCAGTCCGCAGACAGACCCTTCTCCGCTGAGCAGAGTCTTCTGAGGAGAGGCGAGCAGCTCACGGTATTTCTCATATTTACACAACTATCAAACACACAAAGGAAGGTTGCCACAGACCTCTTGTCGTGTTCCAGGCTGTCACTCACTATGGCATATGACTCAGGATCTCCATCAGACCACAGGACTGAGGAAAACACTGACCTGCCTCTGATGCCAGTGTGCTGACTGGATCTGGTCTTGGTAGGCAGCGGTGTAATTTTCGGCAAAATCTACCTGCAGCACCACAGTTTCCTGGTCTGTTTTTGCCTGCAGTTTTTTGGCCTGGAAAAATCCACTTTGCTGTTTTTTAACAAAACAGTGATGCACAAATTTTGTAGCCACTATCTTGAGAAAATTAAGCACATCACCTAGTGTGCCACTCTTTTGGACCTTATTTGGCAGCCCTTCTGTTGTTTCCCATGCGTACCAGGTCACCTTAATTTGGTTATCTTCTTCTGGGATGTTACAGAGGGTACGCATTTCCAAGAGCTTGCCATTCCTGCATTCAGCACACTGTCCTAACATGCAGAGGAGACTATCTGGATTGCAGTCCACAGCTTCAACAAAATCCTGTGTGCTCTGGAATGCCCGCCTTGGGATGACATGTTGCAGACAGTCCAGGGCTAACTTAATATTTTCGTGATATCGACAAAGACACATTTCTTGGAGTGTCTGAAGACCGGAGCACATGAGATGGTCGAAGCTCAGCAAATTTTGATTTTCCAATTATAGACTCTGGATGTTCATTTTTGAAGTAGCGGTAGGCCTCTAGAATAGACATTGTTAAATGCCGTTTCTGGATTTTCTTTTTCACTCCTCCCTCTCTGACTGTGACCACATCCCTCATTCCTGGTGCTTGCCTAGAGATGTCATCTCTCCCATAGAGTTCCCTGACATGATCATATGTAGTAGTGGTGGCGGTCACATGATTCATTTTGTTTTTCTCTGGAAGAAGGCACAGTGATGTTGCAATCTTTTTTATAACTACATTTTTTTCGAGGGCTGCTAGGTAAAGCTCGGAGTGCTCATTTTAGTGCCTTGCCTAGAGACTGTCTTGTTTTAAATGGTGAATTATGTGGTGACTCCTGGAGTAAAGCAGGAACCTGTGACCTCTTCAGCAAACGCCTTTTCCTCTGGCTTTCTCTAGCAAGCTCCCTGACTCTCTCTGCCTCTTGATTTGATTGTGTTTCTTTCTTTCTTCGTCTTTCTGCTGTTTTTCTTTTCTTCTCCTTTTCCTTGAAATTTTCATTATTCCTCTTCCTCTCTGAATTCCCTTTGTCGTTCAGCATTAGTTTTTGCCATTGCGCTATAGGATGAGAGTTGTATAGTATAAATACATTTTGTTGTTGTTTCCTTGTTGGTTATTGTATATCGTTTTATTGGTTGTTGTATTATATTAATTACTTTTATTAGCATTGATATTGTGTAATAAAAAAATTGTTAAAACAGAACTGATTCTTTCATTGTACACAGGCCACCGTGGCCACAGTGTGTTCAAGATATTTAATTTATTATTGTAATTTATACACTTTTCTCAAAACTAAAATGTACATACATGTAAATATCAAATTACTTACCATTTACTTCAAATAAAGTAGATATTTATCCAGAAATAGAAGATCTGCAGTCACCTCAGAAATAACTCCGCTTGGTCAACAGAGGGCGCGCGCGGGAAAGAAAACGAGGGAAAAGGGAAAACGCGTCATCACGAGAGGCGTGTCCTTTAAGGTACAGTAGGACGTAGGCGATCAGCTGAGTAAACATTGCGCACGTCTATTCGTCTCTCTCTATTGAATACTGTAATAATAATTATAATATTTATAATAATTAAATTAATTATGGCGATATGTAAATCTTAATTATGTTGTCTTTATTAAAAATGTAATGATGTTCTCTTTATTAAAAATGTATTTTTAATGTTTTTTTTTTAATATTTGTAATGTTTTTTTTTATGTTACTAGAATGAATTGGTTACTGAAATGTTCTGATATAGCCTACAGTAGCAGAGGTAATTTTAATGTGAGCCAGTGATTTTAATAGCAACAGCACGGTGAACAAATATGAGCTGGTCACTTGCATGATTTAATATGAAGCGTCCGTAACGGTCACGTCCGTAACGCATAATTAAGGTTGTTTAGAGCAAGTAAGTGAGATGAATTGTCCATCATAATTAGCACGGACATATTTTGGCTTTGTATATGAAGTTTGACATTATTTCTATTAATATTTATTATACAGTATAAACTTTATATTTAAATCGTTACGGACGTGACAGCACTTAAGCGTCATGACTTCCTAAATATATCGCTTATAAATTTACAAGGCAGTGCTGTCATAACAAAGTGAGTGTATTTATTTCTCATGCATGCCCCCTGACTGAAAATTTAACTTTTCTATCTGTGCAAACCTCATATGGGGTGAATTTTTTTATAACTCATCCGTTTAAATTATATTAAGCCTTAAAGTTCTGCATAATTAAGGGCGTGGCCACTTGAGTGACAGGTGGATAGCCGCTGCTGACACTGCCGTCGAGCTAGGTGGGCGTGGTTTCAGCAGCCAGCTCCCGCCTCTTTGCCCATTTTCGATTATCCGTGAGTGACGCGCGGTGACGTGTGCAAAGATGGCGACGGCTGGCTCCGCCCACTTTAGGCTTCAAAACGCTCGTCGGAAGTCTACGGGTTACGTCACGGACACTACGTCCATGTTTCTATACAGTCTCTTACCTTAGCTCCGCCCTGAGTGAGCTGTCAGTCCGCCATTGTGTCGACTCCGGTGCAGGGGAAGACGAATGTCTCAGATTAAGCGATTGAGGTGTTTAGTTGTTGGATGTAGTAATGAATATAGCAGTCGTCATTTACTCCGGACATCTGCGCCGCTGAAGACGCAGAGGATTAACGGTACTTTCGTTTTGAAGTGAATGTGCTGATCTCCGATCTGCCTAAATGCGTCTATGTTCGCCCGAATCATTCGTGATCCAGCTTCATCTACAGAAGAAGTGAGTATAAGGGTTTTTATGAATCTTTGCAAATCGCCTTTCCTAATAATGTGCTAGTTGGCCAGTTTCGCGGCTGACGTTTAGTATGCTCCATAGACGTATATATCTAGATGCCTCATTATCGACTGTTTCTATGGGCCGCGATACGTAAGCCATCCGCCATTTTTGGAACCGTCTGCGAATCTTTGAGTGCATTGACTGTGTGCGTCTACAACAGCAAGTTATACGCTTGTATATCTTTGAATATTAATTGATTATTATGGTGAATGCGAGATGGCTGATGCGTCAACGTATCTGGAGAGGTCGAATAGGGAATCTACACATATCTATGGTCTGCCGTCACTCCACGGAAGAGAGGGGCGGAGTCAGCAGAGCTCACTAGTATTTAAAGCAACATGAACTAGAACAGCGTGCTGAAAACAGCTGATTTTGACAGGGTAAAAAAGGTGCTTTTTACACTACCATTGAGAAATTGTAACCAAAGTATGTTATAGACTTTTCTTTAAGACCCTAAAGCAGGGGTGTCCAAACTCGGTCCTGGAGGGCCAGTGTCCTGCAGAGGTTAGCTCCAACCCTAATTAAACACACCTGAACCAGCTAATCAAGCTCTTATAGGCATATTAGAAACTTCCATTCAGGTGTGTTGAGGCAAGTTGGAGCTAAACTCTGCAGGACACCGGCCCTCCAGGACCGAGTTTGGACACCCCTGCCCTAAAGAGTCATATCAACTTGTGGAAAATGGGCATCCGATGACCCCTTTAAAGATGAATTATTCGCTTTCATTAAAACAGCATGCCACAGGAAAAGTGATCAAGTGCATCCACTAAAGAAGTCTAAATTCATATAATTTTTGCTTAACTTCTGCATAATGACTTTAAATATTTCACTCTCATTAATGGAGATAAGCACTGAAATTACATAATGTAAATGTGTATATCGAAATGAAAACCGAGTTTAAAATCATTGTTTACTTCATTACTTTTCTCACTCCAGGAAAAAAGAGTGCGTAAGCATGGTCTAGAACAGTGTTTCTCAACCCTGGTCCTGGGCGCCCCCCAGCACTGCACATTTTGTGTGTCTCCTTAATCAAACACACCTGATTCAACTCATTATCTCATTAAAAGAAACTCCAGGACCTGAAATGGATGTCAGATAAGGGAGACATACAAAATGTGCAGTGTTGGGGGGGCGCTCAGGACCAGGGTTGAGAAACACTGGTCTAGAATGTCCGTACGGTGGTGCTTACATTATTTAAGTTTATTTTTTATAAATCCCGATATGTGCGTGGAAAATTGCGTACGCAATTTCTACGCCCATTTTGAGTGTACGCAACGTTTATAAATGAGACCCCTGGTCTTTTCTGCTTCAATTACATAAATGCTTAAATGTGTGAATTTCTTAAAAAAATAACTAAGTAAACTGATTTATTGTTGATTTTGGCAAGTCTTCTTCCACACAGAAATTAAGCTGGAATATTCCCATCAGTTTAAAAGTGAAGACGAGCATCAAATCATCAGGAAGAGCTGTAATCTGCAAAGACTGAGTTTATTAAAGAGACACACTGAAGATACTGAAGAACAAACAGGTTGGTGTTAATTCTTCATTCTTCATTAATGAGGTTGATGGTAAAGTTTTAAGCAGTTTTGGATTTTGTTTGTTGTAATAGGAAAAAATATTTAGATCTCTGCAATAATACGGCTAAAGCATCAATAAGGGACACTTTCTACAACCCGAATTGTGGAAATGTTCGGACGTTTTTTTTTTGTTTTTTTTTTTGAATAAAATGAAAACTAAAAGAATTTCAAATCACATGAGCCAATATTTTATTCACAATATAACATAGACAACATAACAAATGTTTAAAATGAGAAATTTTACAATTTTATGCACAAAATGAGCTAATTTCAAATTTGATGCCTGCTACAGGTCTCAAAATAGTTGGGACGGGGGCATGTTTACCATGGTGTAGCATCTCCTCTTCTTTTCAAAACAGTTTGAAGACGTCTGGACATCGAGGTTATGAGTTTCTGGAGTTTTGGAGTTGGAATTTGGTCCCATTCTTGCCTGATATAGGTTTTCAGCTGCTGAAGAGTTTGTGGTCGTCTTTGACGTATTTTTCGTTTAATGATGCATGAAATGTTCTCTATAGGTAGGGCTGGGCGATATGGCCAAAAAAATTATCACAATAATTTTTTAAATATCAGTCGATATCGATAATTATCACAATAAATGTCAAATTTTTATTTCTTTCAAGTTTAAAGCCAGATTTTTTCTCCAAAGTGAAAGTTTGGAGCAATTAATTTTCCTTAACAAAATAAATATCTAAATAGAGAAATTAATTTCTTAGTTTCTGCATGTTCTAATGAGTGATGTTGTTTCAAATCAAGAAACAGGTTTGGGTTGCCTGATAATATTAATAATAATATTATCACTTTTTGTCTCTTAGAAATGCACATTTGATAGTAGCTTGAGTTAGGATGCAGAGGTAAATTTTTGTTCATTATCAAAATCAGTAACATCTGTAAAAATTGTTGCAACCTCAGTTTTATATGGTTAAATTTATTCTGAAGAAAGTTTTTATTTTATTTATTTATTTATTTTATTAAGCGTTGGTCTCCCATGGTAGCATACATTTAAATCATGATAAACACAGTTAAAACCACACATATAGCACCTCAATACCATGGTAAAAATATAACTATATGTTTTGTAGCCTATTTGTATGAAAAACTGTAGTCTAAAAACATTCAGTATAAATGCACACATGCTATAGCTTAATCACAAATACATACTACAATTATATACCATTACTCCTTTAATAAAATTCAGTGTGAATATCCCAAATTTCTGCCACAATACCATGGTGCAGTGAGTGTTACTACAGTAAATCCATGGTAAATGATGGCGATGTGTAGATTGAAAAGCCTTCTGACTGTCTCGTTGCACACAGTGTTTCTCCTGTTTGGCTTTAAACTAGTTTAACTCACAGAGTCATTTGTGTTCATCGCTGAATTCAAACGCTTCACACTGGATCTCACAGCGCTGCTTAATGCTCACATGACCGAGTAAATGCATCTGCTCTAGTGAGCTCACGCCGCGCGGCAGTTTGAACTTTGATCCACGCGGATAAAAGGCCCTTGTGGCGCGATTCAAATGAGTCGCGCTGTTTCATTCCGCTTTTGGCAGCGCTCTTTCATTCCGCTTTTGGCGCATAAACATTATAGTGAACATTTATAGAACTCTTTATATAGTTTTATTAGGGAAAATTATATCGCGATAATTATCATTATCGAATTATCGCCCAGCCCTATCTATAGGTGAAAGATCTGGACTGCAGGCAGGCCAGTTCAGCACCCGGACTCTTCTACTATGAAGCCATGCTGTTGTAATAGCTGCAGTATGTTGTTTTTGATGTTGGCTTTTGAACTGAACGCTGATAACACGCTGGAAGGTCTCCCTCCTCTTTAGCCCGGAGGACACGATGTCCGTGATTTCCAACAAGAATGTCAAATTTGGACTCGCTGACCATAGAGCACTTTTCCATTTTAAATGAGCCTTGGCCCATAGGACACGACGGCGCTTCTGAACCATGTTCATATATGGCTTCCTTTTTGCATGATAGAGTTTTAGTTGGTATCTTCAGATGGCACGGCGGATTGTGTTTACTGACAGTGGTTTCTGGAAGTATTCCTGGGCCCATTTAGAAATGTCAATGACGGAATCATGCCGATGAGTGATGCAGTGTCGTCTGAGGGCCCGAAGACCACGGCCATCCAGCAAAGGTCTTCGGCCTTGTCCCTTACGCACAGAGATTTCTCCAGTTTCTCTGAATCTTTTGACGATGTTATGCACTGTAGATGATGAGATTTGCAAAGCCTTTGCAATTTGACGTTGAGGAACGTTGTTTTTAAAGTATTCCACAATCTTTTTATGCACTCTTTCACAGATTGGAGAGCCTCTGCCCATCTTTACTTCTGAGAGACTCTGCCTCTCTAAGACATCTCTTTTATAGCTAATCATGTTACAGACTTGATTTAAATTAACTTAATTAGTTACTAGATTTTCTCCCAGCTGAATCTCTTTCAAAATGTCTTGCTTATTTTAGCCCTTTGTTGCCCCCGTTCCAACTTTTTTGACCATAAATATAGGCTAAGTGCCATTCACACAGAATGCGCCTTTGTGTTAACAAAGATGCGACGCGGGCAGTGGAATAGGTAGAACATGCAAGAAAGCCGTTTCATACATGAGACGCTGCAAGAGACGCGAGCGCAACAGTCAAACACATCCATGCTTGCACAGAAAAAAACAATGGAAAAGCAGCACAATCTAATAAAAAAAACCTGTAAAGAACTACTACTGTATGTCTGATATTTCATGTTTGCATCATGGTGACAGGCTGAAAGCTGCTGTTGTTTTTAAAGAACATTTATAGTTAATAAAAGTCTACTGTTGTCATTTTCAGTATCAGAAAGAGCTTTATTGCAAGGAATTTACATGCAAGGAATTTGTTTTAGTGACAAGCTTCCAGTACACAAAGACAACAACAACACACAGACAATAAAAAATAACTGGAAAATAAATTGAAAAATAAATAAATTGTATGTATAGTTGTGCTATAGATGATAGAATGGAATAGAATAGAATGAGATGCAGGGATGTACGAGGTGGTAACAAATAAATATAAGGTTATTGCACATTTTTATTGTATAATGTTGGGAACATTTAACTGTTCATGAGGTAGATTGCCTGGGGGAAGAAACTGTTCTTGTGCCTGGCTGTCCTGGTATTTGCGGCTCTGAAGCGCCGGCCAGATGGCAAAAGTTCAAAAAGGGGATAACTTGGATGTGAGGGATCCAGAGTGATTTTCTGAGCCCTTTTCCTCACTCTGGATGTATACAGTTCTTGAAGGGTGGGCAGGGGAGCACCAATAATCCTTTCAGCAGTCCGAACCGTTCTCTAGCCTTCTGATGTCTGATTTTGTAGCTGCACCAAACCAGACAGTTATTGAAGTGCACAGGACAAGACTCAATGATGGCTGAGTAGAACTGCTTCAGCAGCTCCTTGACTTTTGAGATTTTCTCAAATAATTTTCCTCGTATTATTTCTGAACACATAATATGTATAAGACAAGTTTGTACAATATGTAGTTGTAGTTTTTGCATCTTTTCTGCAAAGATATTTACAACATTTGTAACATTTACATCATGTTGACAACTTCATGTGTGCAGCACTGGGAATATAATTTTCTTTAACTAGAGGGTTAATAAATAAAAAGTAAGTTGAATCATGTTGTAGTGTCTCGTCGCTCCGGCCGGACAGGGCATCACAGTATGGTGAGGGACGTAACATTTCCGTCACACGCTTGAGGTATTCGGCCAATCACAACGCACTGGATAGCTGGCCAATCAGAGCACACCTCGCTTTTCAGACTGATGAGCTTTGTAAAAATCGACGCGTTTCAGAAAGGCATACAATAATGTACATTATGTGGAAAATGTGTTTTTTGAACCTTAAACCGCATAAACACATTTCATTAAACCAAATACACAAAATATGTTATTTTTAGCAACATCATATGACCCCTTTAATTTTTTGCAAAATCGCCCAGCCCTACCTGGAAGCGAGTCGTCGTCGGAAAGCGGCGTCGATCGCTTCAGATGAGCTCAGCCTCGGTATATTCGGCCTATCTGTGGAATGAGTTTCCCTTGTCTACGGCGGACAATGTCAGATTCTCCTATCTCCATCCCATCTTCCGGAATACGTTTGTGGAGAACGTTTTCCCGCCGGTGAACGGATTTCTCACGTGCGGCGAATCTCGTCCCTGTCAACTCCGAACACTTTCCCGCAAACTATCCAGCGAAGCTTTCGCTCTACCTCTCAGGATGGCACTGGTAAATGCTCGTTCAATAACTAATAAAACTTTTGTTCTGAATGATATCGTTAAAACCAAGGAGCTGGATTTTTGTTTGACTGAAACCTGGCAGAGAAATCTGGAAAATGCTCCCTTTGCGGAAATTTGTCCTAAGGATTATACATTTATTAGTCTGCCTAGACTTTCAGGCCGTGGTGGAGGACTTGCTGCTGTGTTCAGAAACTTTTGAACTGCAAGTGATTCAAGTTGGTTGTACAGATCCATTTTATTGTATTTTAATTTATCATCCTCCTGGCTCAAACAGCTCCTTCTTAGATGATTTTAGTGATTTTTTTATTTATTTTTTATCATCTATTCTTAAGATCACTAAAATTGTGATTGTTGGTGACTTCAATATTCATATTGATGATGTATCTGATAAATGTGCACTGTGCAGCTGATTTTATAAGTATTACTGAGTCTTTTAATCTCATCCAATATGTTACCGGGCCTAGTCTGCCAGTCTTCTTACTGACTTTCACAGGAGCAATGTCATCAATAACATTCTTAACTTTTGAGTTCAAGGAATCAAGGAGACGATCAACAGAGTCTGCAGAAATGCTTGGTGTTAAAGATATAGCCTCCATAAATAGCACACTAGTGTTCTCGTTAATGCATCTCTTTCTGACAGAGACAGATCTAGATTCAGTGCTAGCAGAGATCAATATATCAAA